AGCCGGTGAGATTAGAACCGCTGAACTGCAGATAACAGTCAGCTGAAGTGGCCTGCAGTACTGCACCCTAACCACTGCGCCACCTCGGCTCTTGCCTTCTCTTCAGTTATTTCATCATGAATGGCTCAGGGACCAGGTTCTGCCTCCTCCTGTATATTTTGGTAGTACCATGGCTGATCTTCACATTTATTCATGTTTTGCTTTCCTAGCCGACTTATTTAGCCCCAAACATGAATCTCATCTTATTTTGTCTTCTATCTACTTTCTTTTGATTTGCATCCCCCAGGCAGGGACTAATGCCTAGCCAGCTTTTTTCTGCAACTTATTTATAATTGTATAGGCAGCACTCTGCGATGGTCTGTAATCCTACATAGCTGTGGAATTCATGCCCCGGCAGTCTTGTTTCATAATGTCTTCTCTCTTTTATGGAGCCATTTACTCCAATTGTGATTACCGTATCTTTCGGAGTATAAGACACACTGGAGTATAAGACGCACCAAGGTTTTGAAGAGGCAATTTAAAAAAAAAAAGTATTTGCACTCTGGAAACTCTATTATTCTGTTATTCAAACATAAGTTATTGGATGAGATGTTTGGGGAATCCAGTTCCATCAAAATACAACAGTTTAGCATCTTATTTCCATCTAAACCTAAGAAGGTTGTACACATTCTAATTTAGTACTTGCTATTACTTCACGTCAATTGAAATAGATGAAGAAATAGGGATTTCCCCTTTGTTCAGATGTTCAGCTTGAATGATACTCCTGTATTCAGCCCTGAAATGGGATGTCTTCCTTTTCTTGGCAGCCAAAAGTATTTTTGCACAGCAGAGACTAATATGGTAGCACAAATCTACAAGTGGCAAAAATCAGCAGTAGTGGTAATGATGATGGCTAAAATGGCTAACAAATGGGATTTTTCAAAACATTTCATTTCAAGAAATGTCAGAACTTTACATTTTTCCTCTAATTCATGCCAACCTGGCATTATGGGTATAGAAGAAATCTAGAGGGGTTAATGCGTGCGTGCGTACACACACACACACACACAGATACATACATATATACATACATACATACATACATACATACATACATATTTTAGCATTTGTTGTGATATGTGTTGTTTTTAAGATAGTTTTAGTGTAAGCTATGTGGGTCTATGTTTTAATTGCTTTTATGGTTTTTTGGTTGTGTATGCTGCCCAAAGTTCATTGAATTGGGGTGGCTATAACAAACATGAATAAATTATAAGAAAAATTAAATTTAAAATAAGAACAGTGTGTAAATCATGGTGTTATGGATACTTTACTTCTGGTAACATCTCAGATTGCCCTAAAATTGCCAGATCAGCATAGTCTGTGAGAAAAATAGGATGTTCAAGTATTCCCCTTAGTGTCTTGGTCTTTTGAAGCATACATACTTTTTCAACAACCTACTCCTTGGCATACTGGATCAGAATTGATATAATGCAAAGAAAAGCGATATGCTCTACTACCTTGAAATGTACAATCGAATCTTATCACTGTTTCACATTTTGAGCTTGAAATATGTTTTTGCTGTAAGTGTACATTCATTGAAATATAAAGGTAAAGGTTCCCTTGCACATATGTGCTAGTCGTTCCCGACTCTAGGGGGCGGTGCTCATCTCTTTTTCAAAGCCAAAGAGCCAGCGCTGTCCGAAGACCTCCGTTGTCATGTGGCTATCATGACTCAACGTCGAAGGCGCAGCATGTCATGATGGTTGCATGTTATCTTCCCCACCAAAGTGGTTCCTATTTTTCCACTTGCATTTTTATATGCTTTCGAACTGCTAGGTTGGCAGAAGCTGGGACAAGTAACGGGAGCTCACTCCGTTACACGGTGTTAGGGATTTGAATCGCCAAACTGCCGACCTTTCTAATCAACAAGCTCAGCGTCTTAGCCCCTTGGCCTAAAATATCTTGAGTTTTGTTTCTTCTTATTATACGAACTGGGGAAGTGATTTATTCTAATCAGATATTTATCCCTACATAGCTCATCCTGTTATCGTTAAGGAATGGTCAGCGTACAAAGGGAAATCACCCCAAACTCCAGAGTTGGTCTCAGCTCTTGCTTTTCGGGAGTGGACCTGTCCCAATCTCAAGAAGCTGTGGTTGGGCAAAGCAGTGGAAGACAAGAACCGGCGTATGAGAGCATTTCTGGCTTGTATGAAATCAGACACCCCTGGCATGCTCAACCCTGCCAATGTACCGACACACCTACTGCTCATGTGTTGTGTATTACGGTGAGTGGAGCATATCTGAAGAGAGAAGTTAAAAGAGTGGCAAGTAACATTGTGTGCTGGGGTTAGTACCATCGGGATATGGCTGTGAAGAAGAACTGTGAGAGATCTGTGCTATTGAATCCAGGAATTGGTTGTGGATTGGAGGTAGTAGGTTAAGAATTAGATTGACAATATCTGAAAATATAAAGGAGTAAGCATTATGCAGAGGTCCAGATGTTGAACTGGCCGTGGCATGACAAAACCGCGGTCCACTAAAGCGCGCCCGATTAAAGCGCATCGCTGACGCCATCAGCAGCGCGACAACAGCGACCGCAGAGAAAAAAGGGCGCTTTAAAAAGCGCTTTGAAAGCAAGCCGATTCACGTTAAGGTAAGGGTTAGGGTTAGGTTAAGGGTTAGGTTAAGGGTTAGGTTTAGGGTTAGGTTAAGCGTTAGGGTTAGGTTAAGGGTTAGCATTAGGTTTAGCGTTAGGTTAAGGGTTAGGTTTAGGGTTAAGTTTAGGGTTAGGTTTCGGGGGGTTAGGTTTAGGTTTAGGGGTTAATTTTAGCTTTAGCGCTCACAGCGTGCTTTTTTCGTTGCGCTGTGATGACGTCAGGTACGCGGTTTCGTCGAGCGCGCTTTAGTCGACCGCGGTTTTGTGGTGGAACCGAACTGGCAGTGGAAGAATCCATGCTCTAGTCCCTCCTGAGCCACAGATACTTAATGAGTGACTTTAGGTGAATCATAGTGTCTCAGCCCAACTCACCTCATAGGACTTTTGTTGGGTAAAATGGAAGGAGGAAGTAGTATGTATCCCATCCTGAGCAAATATTGGGATATAAACCTATCAGATAAATTTATTGAAAGCTTATTGTTATATTTATGTTAGCTTAGTGATTTCCTGCTGTATGTTAGTTGAAGATAAAGCTATCAAATCTTACAAGTCAATCTAGAACCATTTCCTGATTTTAAACATGGTGACAAATAATATCCAGACGATTTACTGAGATACACATTCGGGATCTTTGTTCTGCAAATGGTGACCATTGACGAGTGAAACTTCATTTAGTTCTTTAGCTTTATAGCTTATAACTTTTGCTAAGTGTATCTGTCTACTCATGCGTTTTTTTTTTGTCTTGAAATTCTAGATTTCAACATAAAAAAAAAACAATTATAATTTTCTCCAAGGCCCAGCAGTATCCAAAAGTAAAAAAAAGTATTTTAAATTTTGATTCTTGCTTAATAATATATTTCGTACTTTTATTTGAATTATTCTTTTTTCAAGATACATGATACAGTGGCCTGGAGGCCGGATCCTCCACAGACACGAATTGGATGCTTTCTTGGCCCAGGCAGTGTCTCCTCAGCTATATGAACCAGATCAGCTTCAAGAATTGAAGGTTGGTGTTATTTATCACTCCTGTATTAGTCCTGGCAGTGGGAATAGGAAAGAAGAGAGAAGATGAGGTGAGAGCTAGGGGGCTGAGAATAGAAGAGCGCCCAAGTCTCATTCTTGCTAATGAAAGGTAAATTCCTCTTACATTTTCGCAGGCATAGAGTTAGCTGTTTGTTTGTGCATCTCCGCTGCCCCTTGCTCATTTCTTCCATTACTTGTGGCTCAGTGGTGGGTTTCAAAAAATTTTCAAACCTACTCTGTGGGTGTGGCCTCCTTTGTGGGAGTGGCTTGCCGGCCATGTGACCTGGTGGGAGTGGCTTGCCAGCCATGTGCTCGCTCTCTCTCTCTCTCATTCTCTCTCTCTCATTCTCTCTCTCTCA